GACTGAAGGCGGGTCACTGATGTGAGGCCTTTAAGGTCTGAGAAGATTCACGCCTCTCAAGATGGACTTGTCCAGTGAGAAAGGCTGAAATCCCAAGCGGGCGGTTGCAATTACTGGAGGGTTTACGACCCTTTGTGTGAGGGCATGGTAATTTGCAAATGTAATTCGCTTGGGTGTTGATGCACAAACTAGTAAAGATTCTTAGAACACTAATATGTTGCATAGGTATCAGCATGTAATATGTACTCTCAATTAGATCATCCGAAGATGAATTCATAGGGACCAAACATGATATAGGTGAGGTTATATTAACTAGTGGTCTATCATAACATGCATAAAACAGCATACACTACAACAGACCAAGGTTATTTTCGTAAACGAAAACCAAGACTAAAACGACTGATGAAAACATAAACTGATAAACTGAAATAAAATAAAAACATCAAAATAATTTAAAAACTACAATGAAACTAAACTAAACTAACAACAAAAACTAACAAACTAACTGAAATAAAATAATAATTATAAAAAATAAATAATCGTTTTCGTAATTATTACGTTCTCACCCCTTGGCGGAAAAATATACGAGCTGTGTGGAGGTTTAGGGAAATAGCCTACATGTAATGGCGCATCACGCACATGGGGTTATCTGATGGAGAGACGCAAAGCAGTTTAAAGCCTGCACGGGTCCTGTTTGGTAAACGTGCACCAGCAGTACTTAACAGAACACCCGACCCATTATTTAATTTAATTCTGTACCAGACCAGAACTGTTTGACATAAAGACCGCGAGTCGCGACCCGAACCGCACTCGCATTAAATCTATTACATCAGGTAAACAAGATTATTTATTTTATCATGTAACACAAGCAATCAAAAAAGGTGCTTTGAAGAAAAAGACATGCAGCGCAACATGATAATTAACAGAAAAAAAATTAGAACGCACATCCTTTCTGTGAACAACACAAAACTTTAGCCAAGCATCTTGTGGTCACTCTGCCAGGCTTTTGAACAAATGTGCATTGGCTAAATCACATCATATACACGCTTATAATTCTTCATAAATGAAAAGAACATTCAAATATAAGCCGTTACTGTTAAATGCGATTGCCTTTATTATGGAATTTCATTAGTCCCAGTTTTGATTGATGCACGACTGTTCACGCAAAAGTGAGCAAGACACCACAGTTATAGCCTAATATCATGATTATGGTTAAATAAGAAAATACATATAACCAAATCAGGCTACATTTATTTTCATACTAAATATCTCAACACACATCATTGGATATGACATTAAGCGTGACTTGTGTAGATTAATTTAGTAAAAAAAAGGCTTTCCTGCTTTCTTTGTCATATATTTGTATACTTTTACTATCTAATCAGTCTCAGCATGCGTTAATTTTGTGTCGCTATATGTTTGCCTCACTAAGGTTAAAATTATGCCTACGTCTTTCTTTGGCCTGCGCTCTGGAAGTGATCTGTTAATTCTGCTAAACTTTAATTAAAACTGAAACTAAAACTGAAACTTAACTATATAAAAACTAAAACTAACAAAAATATGAATGAAACTAATAAAAGCTAAGCTGAATTGTATAGCAAATTTGAAAACGATATTAAAATAAAACTAATTAAAAAATTCTAAACTATAATAACCTTGCAACAGACAATATACAAGAACAGTAATGGTATACACAATGACCTGAAGGATATGCGTGTTCATTCAAAGAAAGGTTTTCCTATGAATTAATTAGAGAACAGTCCATTTCTCTGGGCAATATGTGTCTTTCTTATGAGGAAAATAAGTGAGTTTCTCTGCCTGCATTCATTTGGGCAATATAACCAGTGATATCAGCATTGGTTGCCATCGAACCAGAGGCCTGTTCTGCCTTTCTGAGGTGTTAAGACGCATTTCGGGGGAAGGGTCCATAGGCCCTCATATGGCTTGTTAACTGAGGGGTGTTATAACTAAAAATATATATATTGTGTGTCTGATTGGTCCAGACACTACATCATCTAATTAAAAAAGTCCCCCCCCCGGCTCTTAATGCATTGTGTTGCCTTCTTGAGTATCAGTAAATGTTTTCACCTTTTGTAATAGTTATACATGAGTCCCTCAGTTGTCCTCAGTGTTAAAAGATGGATTTCAAAATCATACAGCAATGTTGGAAAGGGTTCAGATATGCAGAAGATGCTGGAAAATCAAACAATGTGCAGGAGCTGGAGGATTCTTCTGAAGAACAGCAGGCAGTTGAACTGTCGTGGATCATCCAGGAAATTACACATAGTATTAAGATTCAAGGGTATGTAAACTTTTGAATGGGGTCATTTTTAATTTAAATAAATTCATTTCTAATTTTGTCTTGTGTAAACATCTGTTATGTGAAATAGCTGATTCAGGACAGTACTAAATAAAAAAAATAACATGCAGTTTTCATGATCCCTCTTATTTTGTTACAATTATTAACATTTTGCACATTCTGCAAGGGGTATGTAAACTTATGAGCACAACTGTATATATATATATATATATATATACATTAAATAAGTAACCATTAAATAAGTATATAATATTTGTTGTTGTTATTGAAAGTAATTATTTTATACTCTGTTTTCGTGTGTGTGTGTTTGTAGGGTTATAGCTGAGAATGACTTTCTTCACGCTCTCCTTAACAAAGTGACGACATCGCGAGGTGACAGCGGAGGTCAAGGTATGTCTCAGTGCTGTTATCTCTGCTCAAATGACAGCACAGCATCACCGCTCCCTCCGCTAATGCTGTAATACTCACTGGACCCATAATCCCGTCTGCCCACACTCACACACAGAGACACAATACAGCAGAACAAAGAGATTGAGTGCTGAGAGCGGATGAGCTTTATGACTGTCATTAAAACAGACATTAGAGAATGAGACAAGGGGGAAAGGATGAACAAAAACAGTTAAACCTTAATTTGTTATTTTACCTCATTCATCCACCCTAACCACCCACGCTTTCGCTAAAGAATATTTTGAAATCACTGTAGCAGTGTACTGTAGAAAGATTCCATGTATTTCTGTCATGATTCTGATAGTGAAACTAATAAATCATTAAACACCATGTCAGGTCTGTGGGTCACCATGAAAGCTCTAGTGGGCGACATCGTCCAGATCCGAAAAGAATATCCCCACCTGGTGGACCGGAGCACCGTGGTTGCGCGAAAACTGGGTTTTCCTGAGATCATCATGCCGGGTGACATCCGTAACGACATCTACCTCACGCTGCACTCCGGAGACTTCGACAAGTACAACAAAACCACACAGAAGAACGTGGAGGTCATTATGCTGGTGTGTGACGAGGAGGGGAAGGTCATGCCGGTGAGTGTGACCTCTGACCGTGAGGTCAAATCTCAACCTGTTCTGATTGAGGTGGGGTTTTCTGTGTTGATTGACAGCTGTCTTGTATTATTGTGCAGAACTCAATCTGTCTGGGAGCTGGAGATCGGCCTGTAAATGAATATAGATCAGTCATTTACTACCAGATCAAACAACCTCGCTGGATGGAAACTTTTAAGGTGAGTGAGACAATGAGCTTAAAGGGTTAATTCACCCCAAAATGAAAATTCTGTCATTAATCTCGTGTTGTTCCAAACCCGTAAGACCTTCGTTCATCTTCAGAACACAATTTAAGATATTTTTGATGAAATCTGAGGGCTCTCTGACCCTCCCATAGACAGCAAGGTAACTACCACGTTCAAGGTGCAGAAGAGTTCCGAAATGATTGACAAAGTAGTCCGTGTGACATCAGTGGTTCAACTGTAAAGTTACGAAGCTACGAGAATACTTTTTTGCACAAAGGAAACAAAAATAACAACTTTATTCCACATTTTCGTCTCTACTGCGTCACTTGTGGACGTGCGTTCACGACAGTATAATGACGCGAGTGTGTGGCTACCAATCAGCCATCTTTGCATTGCAGGTCTGGTACAAAAGCATTTATTTATATATATATATATATATATATATATATATATATACAGTATATACTGTATATATATATATATGTATATATATGAAACTAAAGCTGCTAGTAGGTGGCAGCAAGTGTTATTAAATGCAAGTGACTGATTAATGAATGAACAAAGCAAGTGACCACTGTCTTTATGAATCACTGAATCATTCATTGAATCATTAACTCACCCGATTAATTAAAAAAATAATGAATCATTCAAGAACAAATCTTCACTCTGTGTTGTGTCCGTTTTCGGGCAAACTCTTTAAGAGCTGGTGCAATGGGCCAAACTAAAATATAAAATATAGTCAGAGGCCAAATGAAAAAGCTGCTTGAGCACCACTTCTGTGTGTGTGCATGTCAAACAGTATTGACAGTTCATTTTTCTTCCAACATATTACATGTTTTTAGGTGAAACGTGTTTAACAAAATACACTTGTATCCATCTATTACGCATTTACGGAATCAGGTGATTTGGAGGGAAGCAATTAGACCACGAACATACATTTTGAAAGCAGATCAATTTGATGCCAAATTCAAAGTTAATTTCTCAAGCATAAATCCTCTTGTATTCAGCCAGGTTTTCAGTCTGTATGTAGTAATGTTTTTCTCCGGCCTCTAGGTGGCGATCCCTCTAGAGGAGATGCCCAGAATCCATCTGCGCTTCATGTTCCGTCATCGATCCTCACAGGAGTGTAAGTTTAGCAGCTTTAGTGTCTCCTGCAGTCATGAAGTACAGTTTTTTAAAATAGACACCAGTGAAAATAATGTGACATCAAGTCATGATTTTAAAGGGGTCATATGATGCGATTTCAAGTTTTCCTTTCTCTTTGGAGTGTTACAAGCTGATTGTGCATAGATAAGATCCCTGAAGTTGCAAAGACTAAATTCTCAAAACCAAAGAGATATTCTTTATCAAAGTTAAGACTCTGCCACGCCCCCCTAAAACGGCTCGTTCTAAAACGCCCCCACATATCTACCTCACTATGTGGAAATATTTGCATAATGCCGCCCAAATGTGCAAGCAAAGAAAGAAGGCGTGGTTTCAGTAACCGCAGTTAGTGTTGAAACAGCCATGTCAGGGAGACGCTGTGTGTTTCTAGTCTAAAGCAAAAGCACTTTATTTGACCTTCCGAAAGTAGATGCATTTAGGAATCTTTAAGATTACTTACAACAGAACAGCAATGCATTTTATGAACGACCGTTTCGTGAACCTAGGAGAGGAGGTAATTCTGACTTTGCTATGAATACACCTGGACATATTCACTGCTGAACGTGAAATAAACTGATTCAAGAATGCATGGTAATTAAGAGTCAGTTGAGGACACATTGTCTCTGTCTCTCTGTCTCTCAGTGGGTTTATTGGGTCTGCTGAAGTGGAGAACTCGTCCTGAGATGCTGAAACAAAACCTACAGGAGCTCAAACTCATTGACGGAGAGGAGGTCGTGAAGGTGTGTTACACCGAAATTACACATGAGCATCTGTTGTTCAATATGCACTTTTGTTTACGTGTGTGTGTGTGTGTGTGTGTGTAGTTCCTGCAGGACACCTTGGATGCCCTTTTCAACATTATGATGGAACATTCACAGACTGATGACTATGATATTTTGGTTTTTGACGCTTTGGTAAGCAACATCCAAACATACACACATTTCTACAGTCTTAAAAATAAAGGTTCCAAAGAGTTGTTTTTGCAGAAATGCCTCAGGTGGACCATTTTTGGTTCCTTAAAGAACCTTTAGTGTGAAGACCATTTAAAAAATCTAAAGAACCTTTTGTGGAGAGGAAAGATTCCATGGATGCTAAAGGTTCTTTATAGAACCACTGATGGCAGTAGCTTACAGTAATTGGGGCCATTTCAAAGATTTATCTTGTGTTTAAGCTGATTAAAATGATGACTAACCCAAACCCTGAAAGAAACCTTTTATGAATAATTTTTCCAAAATAAGCCCCACTAGTCCCCATGGGGAGGTTTTGTCCTATTAAGCTCACTTCTGGTGACTGATTCTAGTCCCAAAATGATAAACCAGGAGAATATAAAATAATAAAAGATAACAGGAAGATGCAATAGTTGTTTATCATTTTCAGTTTTAAATACAAAATTTTGCATTATGCAAATTATAATTCAGTGATTCTCAACCTTTTTGACAACAAGGCCCCACACAGTCCAAGACAATATTTAATATTTCTAATACTTCTGGTGTGATAATAAAGATGCTTGTATTCAATGTTTTTTTTAAACCAACTAGTAGTATCAATATATTCAAATAAATCTATATAATTAATTATAAAAAAATAAATAAATGCAATATCATAGTATTATAATTACATATAAATAAATTATATTACATAATTCTATATATATAATTTGAAAATATATTTAAATAAAAAAATATTTTTTATAATAAAATAAAATAAAAAGAATTACCTAATTCCAAAAGCTTCAAGAAATGAATGTTTGTCTTGCACTTAATTTACATGACTTTAATGGCGCAAATCAACAGAAACAGGAGTGAATTAAAGGACCCAGGTTACACCATAGTGACATAATTTGGCCTGTTGCTAGTTGTCCTAGTTGATTTGTGTGTGCAGTCTTTTCTCTGTCTAGATTTTGTAGTTTAAGTTATTTAGAGAACTACACACACAAACTCTCTCTCGTTCTGTGTGCTGTAGGAAGCAGATGTCCGTGCTGAAGACATATCTAGACGTGTCCAGTCGAGGGGAGGCTTGTGAACCCATCCTAAGGACATTTCCTTGGTTGGTAGATGCACCGGGGACCTGATTATACCACTTAAAACCTGGAAAAGTCAGATTTTCATGATATGTCACCTTTAAAATTTTATTTATTTCTGTAATGTAAAGCTGAATTTTCAGCATCATTACTCCAGTCTTCAGTCTCACATGATCCACCAGAAATCATTCTAATATGCTGAATTGATGCAAAAGAAACATTTCTTCTTATTATCAATGTTGAAAACAGTTCTATCATGACAACTCTTGAAGATTTTAGCATGGTAATGGATATGACAGTGTTAATGTATTTGGCCTGAGTGGAATTGATCTGCTACACTGCTGCTGCTGTTGGTTATTGCTGTAGTTGTAGATTATTGCTGCTGCTGCAAGCAAGTAGGAACTGGCTACTACCAGTGAATACGGTGCTGTGAGTATTTTAAGACATACTGCTGCTGCACAAATAGCATATAAAATAACCCGTTGCAGATCTATACAGGTGGAGCTTGGGAAGGTGGAGAGTTTTAGAGGAACTCTGAAAGCACGCTGCAAAAATGGTCAAGTGGATGCTAACCAGCCATTTAAATGTAAAGCAGCAAGCTCATTGGCTGCATATGCAACATGAACCAATCAGCTTGTGCCAAGTCGTTTAACGCTGTGAATATCATCAGTTACGTTAAGAACCCATCAGCCTGCGCCATCTAGAGTTCCATGAAAGAACTACGTATTTATGTTGCTTCATATTTTTTGTGGAAACAATCGTACAAAAAAGGAAATCTTTAAAAAACAACAACAAAAATTAGTTTGGCTTAAAATATGAACTGGGCATGTTCTCAAAACCACAAAAAAACATTATGAAAGAATTGTTCTGAGTAGTACGCTAGTACTCTATTCTGAGCACTGCCGGAGTCTGTGACGGTTCATTCATCTGAATGTGGGCTGAAAACAAAACAAAACACAAGGAAATAAACGCCCAGCTGCTTTGGGCTGAGATTCAAGTGTACGTTTTTAAGGTGGAGCAGTCATTTTTTAGGGTTTTTGACAGGGTCACATGTCCTCCGGCCGCCTGCAGCACGTTCTGTCTGCACCGTTTTGTCGAGGAGTGTAACAGCGCTGCCTGACGGTCATTAAGGGCCTGTGTCTGTCTGTGATTTATGACTCTGCCTTTGGGGCCCCCGGATGCAGTCATCGAGCGGCACTGCAGAAACACAGACTGTAGCTGATGTTCATTCACACTGCCAGTGCTGTTCCTCTGACAGTTTCATACTCAAGTCCAAACAACTGATAAAAACATCACAATAATCCACAAGTAATCCACACCACTCCAGTCCATCAATTAACAGCTTTAGAAGTGAAAAACTGCATGTTTGTAAGAAACAAATCCATCATTAAGATGTTTTTAACTTAAACCGTTATTGTTTCTGGCTAAAATGGGTTGTCTTATTATAGAGCTATTCTATAATATTTCTTTCTCCAGAGAAAAAGTTGTCTGGTCTGAATTAGGTGAGAAATATGCACATATAAAACAATATTGACAGGTGAAAAATGGTTCTAAGCAAATATGTGGGTGAATTTTGATGTGAGACAACAATAGTGATGGACTTTTTCACTGGAGAAAGCAAAATTATGGATTATGGAAGGGATTTCGCCCAGAAATGACAGTTTGAGATTAAAAATGTCTTAATGATAGATTTGTTTCTTACAAGCACACAGCCTTTCTCTTCACAAGACATTAACGGATGAACTGGAGTCATGTAGATTATTTGTGGATTATTGTGATGTTTTTATCAGCTGTTGGCACCCATTCACTGCAGAGGATCCATGAGCAAGTGATGGACTTGTCTATATCTTATAGAGTACATTTCAGCAAATTTATATTTTTGGGTGAACTATTCCTTCAAAGTGTGTAGCTGATATAATCACGTCATCTGTTTAACTAACTTAAACTAACTTGCTCAGCAAGATTCCTTCAGTTTGTTGCTCCGCTGTCAAGTTAGAGTTGACAGAGAAAACTTTTGAAACACAGTAGTAATTTACTCGGTATAGTGTCTTTTGTGTACTTCTGCTGTGTTTTGAATGTTTTGGCGTGTTTTTCAATACATCTACATTCTAAAATGTGACACTAGATGCATCTGCCGTTCCCAAACTGTGTGTGTGTGTGTGTGTGTGTGTGTGTGTGTGTGTGTGTGTGTGTGTGTGTGTGTTGTACAGTGTGTTCAGTCATCAAGTTTGTGTAGCAGCTGATTGCATCATTAATTTGCCTAATAGTAATTGATGCCAAAACAGCTGCTAAACGAATCTCAATGAGTGTGTGTGTGTGTGTGTGTGTGTGTGTGGTTGCACTAATGACCAACAAGAGAGAGACAGATCAGTCTTACTGCAAACAGCATATGATCACTATAAATGCTTTAATTACACACCACATATTTATTTTTAGATTATTTATTATAATTTATGTAATTATAAAAATACATTTAAATATATTATTTTTTATATTTATTTTTTAAATTTGGCTTAAAATATGATTCTTTTTTTCTTTCTTTCTCATTCTTTCAATTCTTTCTTTCTTTCTTTTTTTCTCATATAAATCATATTAACTATCATATTAACTAGTCTTTTTATTGCGGTGTGCCAATGCACACTAGCATCTCTAGAAATGCAGAGAGCTTAGTATGCAGAATGTAACATTTCAAACAGTTGTATACTAACTAAATTGTCAAATGTACTTATTGTATTAATTCAGCAAGTGGTGTCCAGTTATAATATCAGAAATAAATTGTTATTTTGTGTTTTTTAATTTTCAGTTTTGTGTAAATAGTCTAAACTTCTGTCAGTCTGATCAAATTAATGAGTTGAGTAAGAAATTAGATTTGAAAGACAAATCTAGCACATTGCATTGTGTTCATTTTTTTAATGCAAATTATTTTTTTGGCATATTTGTTTTTATATTAAAATGTTTACATTTATATTTAAATAATTCAAATATAAAAATAAAATGTATTTATTTACATTTTGTTCTTTTAAATTTGGCTTAAACTTCTAAGCCAAAAGCTTTGACTTCTTTCTTTCTTTCTCTCGCTCTCGCTAATATTAACCAGTCTGTTTACTGCAGTACGCTGATGCATACTAACATCTGTAGAAATGCAGCCCCATCATGGCCGGATCATTTTTCAGTGTTTATTAGTCCAAAGGCTCTCAGCAGGAGTGTTTTTGCTCTGGATTCAGTCCCAGCAGGAGGCGCTTCGCTCTGATAATGGAGTTTGATGGAAAGCGTCACTGCTCTGCGCTTTTAAAATAACTCTCTAAAACATCCAGATTAAACCGCAGACGTTATATTCCCAGAGAGAAGAGACCATGTGGGTGTAAAAACGCCGGTTCGGTGCACGCTCTGGAAATGTAATAAATATTTTAAATTAAATAGCTGAAAAGAAGAAATGGATGGGGAAATTACCTCAAATTGTTCATGGAATATTTATTATTTATCTTAAATTTGGGGAGATTTTCCGTCCTCTAGGATGATTTTAAATGCAAATGCTTCATAACAGTCATTCTAGTTCTGAAGCAATGATTATCGTATCTTTTTTTGCTCTCCTGCTTTAATGATTTTTTTAATAAGTGTTGAAAGGTTAAGTCAGCTAGATTATTAAATGAGCTCTGTTCTAGGAATCAAAATGTTCATTAAAAACATTTTCTAAATCAAATTGATTCATATCATCCTTTCTCTAGAGCAGGGTTTCTCAAACTGGGGTTTGTGAGTTGAGGAAAAGCTAACAATTAAATCAAGCAAATTTAAATAAATAAATAAAATGAAATGTCAGATTTGTTTACCTGCATGTCATGTGACAATTAACCGACATCAGAGCAGTGTAATTTTAGTAATATTTAAAGGCTATTATAGTATTTAATAATATTTTGAATAAGATTTTACTTTTATATTTTAAGTTTTCATTTTCATTTTACATTTTTATGGGCTTTTGTTATTCATATTAGTTATTAAATATTACTATTTAAGTTTAATTTATTATTAATTAATTTATTTATTTATTTTTTAGTTGTAGTGTTTTTTGTTGTAGTTGTTGTTTTGTAATTTTAGTGCTTCAACTTAAAATTATTTCAGTTAGTTGCCGAGTCAACATTTCTAAGTTTAATTTAGTTTGTTTATCATCTAATATTTATATTTTAATTCCTGTCAGTTTGACTTCAATTAACAAAACTTTAAAAATAGTTGAAGTTCTAGTTAATGATAATAACCCCGCATCAGGAAACTGAACATGAAAAGGTGTTGTTAAATTATTGAAATATTAACTTAAAATCTTACAGATACTATAACTAAATATTTTAGGTTACAGGGGTTTGGCTTGCAAAAAAGTTTGAGAACCCCTGCAGTAGTAGATCTAGTGATGACGAGGGTTAATATTTAATTATGTGTTTCACACTGCTGGAATGTTGTGTTGACCAATCAGCATCTAGATGCAGAACTGTCCGTATTATAAATGGAATTTTGTTGTGTGTGTTTGCTGGTTTCTTCAAGGTTTTTCATCTTCTCACGTTCTCTGTGTTATTTGTGTGTTTTATCTCTTTGAGTGGTTGTTCTTATGCTCTAATGCCTCTCATTTCATACCCATCATCAGGATTAACACACTGTGTGTACGAGTGTGAGTGTGTGTTTAGCTTTGGGCAACATCAAAACCCTTTCGGCAGTTTTCTGGTGTGTGTTTGTGGTGTGTTTTTTGAATATATAATGTTTTCTTGTTGTTCATTTGTGTTCATAACTGATATTTAAGTTACTTTGTTAACCCATGGTGTCCGAGGGTGTTTTGGGGCCCTGGAGAAGTTTTGACATGCCCTGACATTTGTGCTTTTTTCAGTTGCTTATAAACATTTTAATGGCTAAAGTTTAGTAGCACCATAATCAGCACAAACTGGGCTACAATAATATGTGGGCAGCATGTATGTATGTGATTGTGTTTGTGAGAAAACAACGGTTATGCGTGCTTAGTGAAAAACTAAAATTTTGAAGGGTAGGTTTTCTAATTCTATGAAATGCACATCTCAGAGTCAGTATATGAATCATGTGTGTTTATGGTATTATGAATACCATATCAGAAACTATATGAATTCTTATTAATGCATGACTCAAATGCCTTTTCTGTGATGTTTCTTCATGCATTATCATGTGGGAATGCCAGTTGTATTTTTTTGACAAACAAATTGAATTTGATTAATAACATTTTTATTTATTATATTTTCAAATAACATTTGGCTGTTACATCAAAGCACATTGTTCTCAAAACTAAAACAATACTATTTATATATTTAAAATATTTACATGCTTTATATAAAAAATATATTTCCAGTTCTAACTTTATTTATTTATTTATCTATCCATTTATTATTTGTTTCTTTATTTGTTTTAATATTACTATTTGGGTTTAATTTATTTTTATTTCCATCTTAAGTTTTAGCTCAGGTTTAATGCTTATTTATTTCCAATTAATTTAAGTGAACATGCAAATGTGTTGTTGAATTGATCAACTTCTTTACTCAAAACTAAAACAATACTATTTATATTTATACACAACAATACTATTTGTATTTTATTTATATTTACACACACACACACACACACACAAAAGTTTTGGAACAGTGAGGTCAATTCCTTTATTTTTGCTGTAGACTCTGAAAACATTTGGGTTTGAGATCAAAAGATGAATATGAGACAAGAGATCAACATTTCAGCTTTTATTTCCAGGTATTTTCATCTGGATCTGATAAACACAACTTAGAAGATAGCACCTTTTGTTTGAACCCACCCATTGCTCATGTGACCAAAAGTATTGGAACAGATTGACTTAAAGAACAGATTAAAATGAATAAGACTTAATATTTAGTTGCAAATCCTTTGCTTGCAATAACTGCATCAAGCCTGTTGCATCACCAAACCTTTGCATTCTTCTTTTGTGATGCTTCTCCAGGCTTTCACCACAGCCTCTTTTAGTTTTGGGGGGTTACTCTCTTCAGTCTCTTCTTTATCAGGTAAAATGCATACTCTATAGGGTTTAAGTCTGGAGATTGACTTGGTCAGTCTAAAACCTTCCACTTCTTGCCCCTGATGATCTCCTTTGTTGCTTTTGCACTATGTTTCGGGTCATTATCTTGCTGCATGATGAAGGATCTCCCAATCAGTTTGGTTGCATCTTTCTGTAAATTGGCAGACAAAATGTTTCTGTAGACTTCTGAGTTCATTTTGCTGCTGCCGTCATGCGTTACGTCATCAGTTAAGATTAATGAGGCCGTCCCAGAAGAAGTGATGCAAGCCCAAGCCATGACATTACCTCCACTGTGTTTCAGATGAGCTTGTATGTTTGGGATCATGCAACAGATCCTTTTTTTCTTCAAAATTTAGCCTTTCTCTTTGTCTCATCAGTCCATAAAACTTTGTCCCAGAATTTTTGAGGCTTGTCTCCCATTCTTCTTGCTACTGATTGGTTTGCATCTTCTGTTGTAGCCTCTGTAGTTTTGTTCATGAAGTCTTCTGTGAACAGTAGATTGTGATACCTTCACTCCTGCCCTCTGGAGGTTGTTGCTGATTTCAGTTGTTTTAGGGTCTTTCTTTACAGCTGTCACAATGTTTCTGTCATCAACTGCTGATGTTTTCCTTGGTCTACCTGTTCGAGGTCTGTTACTTAGTACACCAGTGGTTTCTTTCTTCCTCAAATGGTTGTACTGGCTATGGCCAATGTTTGTGCAATGGCTCTGACTGATTTTCCATCTTCTTTTAGCTTCACCATTCCTTGTTTTTCACCAATAGAATGTCACCATTTTGGTTACACATCTTCTAACTATAAATGCAGTCTGCACAGGCAAAACCCAAATCTGAAACTGAGCGCAGACATTCAGTGCTATATATTGTTTGAATAATCAATTAATAGGACAGACCAGGGCAACAAAACACATCTGTAAGTCACATGTTCCAATAATGTTGGTCACATGAGCAATGGGTGAGTTCAAACAAAAGGTGCTATCTTCTAAGATCCAGATGAAAATACCTGTACATAAAAGCTGAAATGTTGATCTCGTCTCATATTCATATTTTGATCTCAAACCAAAATGTTTTCAGTCTACAGCAAAAATAAAGGAATTGGCCTCACTGTTCCAATACTTTTGGAGGGGTGTGTGTGTATATATATATATATATATAAAAAAACAGAAACTCACCCCCCCCCACGCAATTTTTTTTTTTAAATCAATATATATATATATATATCTGTGTGTGTGTGTGTGTATGTTTATATTTTCAGTTCTACTTTTATGTGCTTCTGTCATTTTTATCAGTTTTTTTTAAATATTACTATTTGGGTTTAATTAATATTTATTTCAGTTTTAATGTTTATTTCCACTTAAATTTACTGGACATGCAAACATGCAAAAATCTATGAAATATACAAAGCAGCTTGTGATCTCATAACTAAAATAGCACCGCAACATAACCAGCATTTCACAACTAATCAGATTTGATGTTTATATTGCATTCAGACCTGACTTTTAAGTGATTTTGTTGAGGTTGAAGTGTGTCGGTTTGCATGCATATGCATTTCTGGGTAGGTTTATTGATTCTAGGAAATGTACATCTATTTGTCTTGATGACGTATATATGTGTCTTTGTTTTGTGAGCATGTGTGTTTATTGTAGTGTGTGTTATCGTGTGAGGTCAGAGGTGGCGTATTAACTGTGGCTCTCATGTGGATTAGTGGAACAATGCTTCAGTAATCACGTCTGTTCTTCAGCAGTACCGCGGTAAATACTGTCGTGTGTTACAGCATAATCTCCACCCTCAGAAACCCCACTGACTATAACATCTGTGCCGAGTTACTCCTGACAGACAGACAGAGAGAGAGACACAACTGACCTGATGGACAGAGACGGGAGAAAACACCATTAAAGAAGTCCAGAGAGACTGAGAGAGATGAATCTTTAGACTGCTTCTAAACTTGATTGAAGTTTCAGTCAAAGTTACTGTCATGATCCTCCGTGTCTGTCACCTGAAAGCCTTTCCACTGACTTTAGAGTCGAACAACGTCATAAGTGACCCACAAACTAACTAGACTCATCACCGTCTTTATTGTCCTGACCAGATGCATCGCAATAAAGCCTCAAGCAGTGAAATCTGTCTTCCATGTCATGCGCCGTTCATACATTTAATCACTGTAGGGTGTAGTGACTTTTGTGTTGCCTTTGCAAAAACTGGTCACAAGTGGGATGGGTTGGATTTAAAAATATTTGAATTTGATGCAAAGTGAACACTAAAATGAACTAACCACTAAAAATAATGTGTTTGAATAGAAATTATAGCCGTGCTTTATGCATCATATCAGGAACATCAATTACCATAATGAATGCATGCATCAAATGCATTTTCTTCATGCGTTCTGCTAAATGACTAAATGGAAATGCATTATCGTGTGAATATGTCACTTAAATTTTTTGACAAGCAAATGGAAATTTTCTCCATTATGTGGTATTACAATTTTTTTTTTAAAACCTTTTTGAATTAATGCCATTATTATTTTTTAACCAAAACCTTTTAACTTATTTCAGATTCAAAGAAACATTTTTTATTTAGTTTCACTTGAATAAAATAACTATAACTAAAACTGATATAAAAATTAAATAAAAAAAGCAAAAACTGATAAAAATGACTAAACACACACAACAAAATAACCAAATATTTTACTAAAATGAAAATGAAAAAATAAATAGATAAATAAATAATAATAATAATAAAAACTGAGTCAAAGTATTAATGCAAGCTCTGATAGCATCTCATTGATACTAAAATGACACTGTTGAGAACACAAGCTCTTTTGATGTAAAACCCGGAAGCTATTTAAATACATAACAATTAAAAATTACACAATAAATCAAAAAAGGTTATAAAAACAAAATAAATTAAAGTGGCTGGAAAGTGAAGCATCATACTGTGTAGTGTAGTTTATATGATGAAATGATCTATATTTTTAAGATATACAATACTTGTTTAAATTATTTAATTTGTGTTGCAACTCCTGCACTGGTATACTAGTGTCCTTTTTGGGAAATATTTTGACTGTATGAAACAATGTATACATCACTTACATGCTTTTATGGTGAAAACACATCTTTTTCATGTCAACTCATTTATTTTGACTATAAACAACCTGGTACCTGTTAACATGGGCACCGAGAAAATTATACGCCGCTTACACATCTTGTGCGAAACGGACCTGAAGTCCTGGCAGAAAAGGGGTGCATCAGTGTATAAGTGTGCGAATGTGTGATGATGGATATGTGAAATGTATTGCACTGCTCACAAGTGTTCTTTTTTTTCTCTGTCGTCAGATTGTATGAAGGGAAGGAACAGGCCGAGTTTGAGGAATCTCTCAAAAGTTTATTTGAGTCGATCAATAACCTGATGAAAAGTGACTACACCACTACACTACTGCAGCAGGTATGAATAGTTGAATTCAGTTTATGAAATATATAGCTATAGCTATATATATAATCATTATATATGACAAATCATATTTAAAACTATAAAAAATAAGAATTATATAATAAAAATATATAAAATATAAAATGATTTATAAATTATTTGCCTATATTTATATATAATATAAATACATAAATTATCCTTTTTAATAGGTGTATATGTATATTAAATATTTTATTAAATAATATTCAAATATATTATATAAGATATTTTTGTATGATAAAATATAATATTTTAATTA